GAACCGATGGCGTGAAACACATTTCTCCAAAACGCACATCTGGCCTCTCGTAGTCTCTTGGTAGCCAGCAACGACTTCATCGATATCGACGTTTGTCTTTTTCTTCTGCCAACAGGTCGCTGACCTCCGACGCTCACTTTTCGATTTGCCTCGACACCAGCCTCTCGCATGGCGTCGCAGCCCGACTTTCACGCGGTCGCAACGCCCAAGCCCAACGAGCCGCTTCACATCCAACGGGATGCTGACGCGGTCGACGCGCCGTCCAAGCTCGCTCTCGTCGCGCACTGGACTGCAGGTCTCCTCTTGGCCTTCTCGGTCTTTTCCATCACCGTGATCTTTACGCCAATGGTGATCCCCGTCACGACGACGTTCTTGAACCCGATGTGGAACGTCAACCCCAAGGTCAAGGGCTCGGGCCGTCCCGAGATGGTCAACGACTCGTACTTCTTCTTTGGCGTGATCTTGCCGATCATCGCGGCCTTCTTGCTCGTGCGTCTCGTGAGCAAGGGCGCGTCGTTCCCAGTGCCGGGTCTCTCGCACATGCTCAAGCGCAAGCCGCGCATCTTTGGGTCGCTCGTGAGCTACGGCGAGATCCTCTTTTTGCTCGTCCTCGTGGCCGGCAACATCATCTTTTACTATCACTACTACAGCACGCGCCTCAAGCCCAACAGCAAGACGAAGGACAAGATCAAGCTCGCGGCCAAGACGCTCGGCCTCTCGACCATGTACAATATGGTGTGGCTGGCGCTGCCCGCGTCGCGCCACTGCTTTTGGATGGAGTGGCTCGGCATCCCGTTCGCGCACGGCGTCAAGTACCACCGCTGGCTCGGTGTCGCGACCATCGTTTGCGCGACGGTGCACGTGGCCTTTTACATCCAAGTGTATGTGGCCGCGAACGACGCGATGACGCTGCTGCCGTGCTTTGGCTGCGACGTGGCGAAAGAAGGCAAGATGAACTGGGTCAACACCTTTGGCTGGATCGCGTTCTGGATGATGGTCGTCATGGGCCTCACGTCGCTTCCGTACGTGCGCCGCCACTACTACAAGGTGTTTTACGCGACCCACTTTCTCTTCATTCCTGCCACGGCCTTTGCGATCATGCACTACGCCAACATTGCCATCTACCTCTTCGCCACCATCGTGCTCTACATTGGCAACCGCATGATGTCGTCGGCCACGATCTCGGCGCCGGTCATTGTTCAGAAGGCGGCCGCGCACCCGCACAACGTGACCGAGTTGACGTTCGAGTGTGCGACCTCGTACCGCGCCGGCGACGTCGTCTACCTCAAGGTCCCGTCGGTCTCCAAGACGCAGTGGCACCCGTTCAGCGTCGCGTCGACGCCACTGCACACGCCCGGCTCGCTCACGGTGTACATCAAGACGCTCGGGGAGTGGTCCGGCCAGGTGCACGAGTACGTTCGCCAGTGCACGGCCGCCAATGTCGACCCCGTCGTGTACATGGATGGCGGGTACGTCCCGCCGGCGCCCGTCTCGGCGTCGTTTGACAAGGTGGTCTTTGTCGGCGGCGGCATCGGCGTCACCCCGCTTCTCGGCCAGATCCTGCACACGCTGCACTCGCAGTCGTGGCAAGATGTTCATTTTGGTCTGGCACGTGCGCGATGTGCGCATGATGGCGCAGTTCCAGCAGTGGTTCCACG